TAATCAGTACCTTGTTCTTGATTAAACATTGTTTGTATTAACTATTTTAGGTTTTGAGTTTCATCTTCTTATCAGTACTATCTGACGTGGCTTTTAGTTTTCTATTTTTCTTATCAATCTTTTTATTCATTATTTTTTCTAATTCATTTTCCTTTTTAAGTGGTTTTTGTTTAATTAATTTATTCTCTTTTCACTCTATTTCTTTATCTATATTTTCTTTCTTTTACTCTTTTTTTAGCTCACTTGGAAAAACTCCGCTTTTTTTGCTCTAAAAATTTTTAGGTATTTTTAGATAATAATTTTCTTTAAATTATTTTGCCTTAATCCTTCTTTTTGAAAAATTTTTATCCTTTTAATATCTCTTCTTTTCAAAAAAACAAAACTTCTCACGTAGTTGAGCTAAAAAAAAGAAGGGTTTTTAGATAATTAATAAGTTCAAAAAGTAACTTAATTTAAATTTCTTATTTTAGATAACAATAAATTATTATAATATATTTTTGTTATATATAACCAACAAAAAATAAAAAAAGAAGTTAAATTTTAAAGAGGATGAGAAATACCGAAATTATCTCCACCAAAATGATGAAGAGTTAAATATTTCTCTTCTGTTTTAGAAGTATATGTATAAGAACCATCTTTAAAGAATTTAGGATCAGCCCAACAAGCTTCAACAAGACCAATTAATAATTTAGAACCATCAGTTTCTTCAATAATACGGTCAAGGGTTAATTCAATTTGACAAACAGTTTCAGTTATTAATAAATTACCAAATGAAGGAGTAGAACATTGTTTAAGATGAAGTCCAGTTTCTTCAAATTTATTAACATCGTTACCATGGTGTTTACCAAAGAAACGAACACTTTCAAGAATTTCTTTTGTTGGTACATTAATAACAAATTTTTTAGTTTTTAAAATACATTTAGAAGTATAACTACTTGCTCCCATTTTGACTGCTACAGAAAGTCTACTCAATGGCATATTCCATTGACAAGTCATTCCTGTTGTTCTTTGATTTTCTTCATCATAAGCAGTAATCATAACAACTGGTCCATGGTTAATAATACGAGAAGCTGTATCTTTGTTTATAAGAACACTATTCATTGTTGGTCTTAAATGAGTTTTAAGTTTTATGCTTTTTAAATTTTGTTTTATTTAAGGACGGATAAAGTCCAAACATCAAAGAACTACCATAATTTTATCTCTTAAAAAAAAACTTATTAAATTCAAAATTAATTCATTTACTATCTCGAAAGAACTACGCAAACAATACCTAAACTAAGAGTTGCCACTCCACATATAAATAAAATGTAATTTTTTATTCCTCGTATTTCTCCAAAAACAAAGATTCCCCATAATGTTGAAATTAATCCTGGTCCACTAGCATTAATTGAAAATGTTACACTCCATGGTAAATAAGTGTTAGAATACATAAAACAAATTTGTGCAATTTCCCATATAATACCACTCACTATTCCAGGAAGGAAAGTTTCTGGATATAAAGTTGGTTTATTTGTTGAAATAATTGAATAACAAATGAAGTAAATAGATGCTGTAACAAAAATACCACATGCATGTGAAAATAAGTAACAATATTGTGTATTTGGTCCAAAATTATTATCAATCAGATATTGGGGTGGTGTAAAATTGGATCCAAAGAATAATCCAGTGATTAAAGCTAAAATTACTCCAATTATTCTTCTACCAACTGGATTTAATTTATTTAAATAATCAAAGAAATTAAAATATTTTTTTGATTCTTCTTTTTTTAATGATGATGTTGAAGTGTTTTTGGTTTGAACTATTATTTGTGGTTGTTCACTTTTAATTTCTTGTAGTTGGGTTGTATCTTCATTTTGACTCTCTTTTTGTTCTTTATCATTTATTTCTGGTTGAACAGCTTGTTCACCTTTTAGTTCAGAATTTGCTAATAAGAGAGACTTTTCTTCTTGTCCTATTATTTCCTCTTTTAATTTATTTTCCTTTTCTTTTACTTCTTCCATTTTTTCTATGTTCTTTTGTTCCATAGATTTAATAAAACCATAAAATGGAACACTAATACAAGCCAATGCTGCACCAATGCAATTTAATATTTGTTTATCAACTGGTTGTGCATTAATACCAAATAGTCCAAATGTTCCAGTACACCATCCTATTGCTAAATTAGAAATACCCCAAATACTAATACCTAATGATACTCCAATTGTTTGAATAACTGGTACTGTAAGTAAATTACCAGTTGCCCAAATCATACCACCTAACATAGCAAAAGGGTAAAATTGATGTGTTGGATTAGTAAGAAATTCTAAGAATAAAGCAGTCAACTAATAGGTCTTCATTAATACTTTTTTCTCTTTAACTTAAAAATATATTTTTGCTTCACTTTATTACCGTTGCAAAAACGAAAAAAACAAACAAAAATGCCTAATGCTAAGGTAAATTGGAAAAACATTCCATCTCCAGTTGGAAACTTTTTAACAACAACATAGTTACTCCCATAAAATACTACCGAAACCAAACAACAAAAATATGAGAGAAGTGTGGTATTCATTTCACTCTCTTTACCTCCACATTTTTAAATTTAATTTTTTTTTAAGGAACAAGAAGAAGTTTTTGGAATTTTTAATTATTTTCTGCTACATTCAAAAAATAGTTAAAAAAAACTTAAAAAATTGAATTATGCAAACAACAAAAAAAGACATATTAATTCCTTTAGAAGAAATTCAAGTACCAACAAGAAACATTCAAGGATTAAAAGTTGGATTTCTGAAGAGTCCAGAAGGGTGGTGTTCTTGTATACCACAAACTATTTTATTATTACAAAGATATGGATATGATATTTATATTGAAAACAACATCAGTGAAAATTGGAAAAACGAAGATTATGAAAAATATTTGTGTAATATACAAGAACGAAAAACTGTGATTTCAATTTGTGATGTGATTATATCCTTTTATTTTGATGGGCAAGACATAAGTTATTTTCACCATGATCAAATAATCATCACTGAACGACAAATATTAACTGAGAATTTTCAACAACAATTACTTGATTCTGGAGTTGAAGTGATCACTTTAGATACTATTCCTTTTCAAAAAGAATATTTGTCATATTCTTCTACATATGCAAAAGAATCTGGTAAAGGAAAAGGAATAGGGTTAATTTCAATAGATGAATTAGGAATTGTTTCTTCTAATTATAAGTATCAAGCACTCATTACTGAACCCAAAAATGTTTCATTGGTTAGTTGTGCAGAAATACTTCACCGATTTAATATATCATTAACGACAATGAGTACTAATCCTGATATTATTATAACTGATAAACCATTTTTAAATTCTCAATATAAACGAGGGACAATTATTATTCCAATAACAAATGAACAACTTCAATTTGACCAAACAAAATATACAATAATACAAACCACTAATAATAAAATAATCAATAAACATATCTCTTTGTCTTTATCATTTACAATAATGAATTTCTTGAAATATTGTAGGTTTAATGGTTTCTTCAACAAAGAAGATAAATTGTCTTCTTTTTACAGTCTTACTAACAACCAAAAATTATCTTATACACAACAAACAGAACTTATCAAAGAGTTACAACCACAATTAAAAGAAGTAGATATTGATGAAACATCTCCTAAAGAAAATGTATTTCTTTCTTTCATACGTCGTTATTTTAATAAAAGTTATCTTGGACTAATAATAGTCATTACGTTTTTAATTCTCATAACGGTGTGGGGATCTTTTCAAAATTCAATAGAAAATACAATTAAAGATCCTATTCTTATTTGTGTATTGTCTTGTGTTGTTGGAGCATTTATGGCACGAAGAATTTCGCCATCAATTCATATTCCAACTGTTTTATTACTTCTTTCTATATCTTGTTCTATTGGATATACTTGTTTAGATGTAATGAATAATTTCAAGGATGTAGTTGGGACTTCATACCGCCAATATGGTCCAGTCATTGTGGATCTCTTTGGATTATTATTAGTATCAATAATTTTAACCAGTTCTATTTTCCTTGTTATTAAAACGATGAAACTTTATTGAATTTAACAATTAATTTTTTTGTTTAATACTTTTATTATCATGATATAGTAAAAAGGGTTTATTTATACTGGATCAAATACAAAATTTTTCATTCCACAACTCTTTGATAATCATACCACATGTAGTGAGATGATTTGAACTAGGTTGTAAGAGTAATTCATTGATATTCCCATTGTTAATTTATAGTAGCAATGGAGTAATGCCTTGGAACAATATAATAATTAGAATTTTAGTTAAGAAATAAGAGTTTTTAAAAAAATTTCGATGGTTATGAGGTTTTTTTATTTGGTGAGGTGTTGAAGAATAAAGGAGATATTAATTTAAAAAGTTATCTTGTGATTATTTCTTTGATTTTTAATATTTAAGTGAAATAAAGGGTCATCTTGAAATCATTGGATATGAGTGTTTCTGAAGCTAAACCAATTTTAATTATTTATTTCACTCGTGATGGACACAGTGAAAAAATTGCAAATGATATTGCAGCAGTTATTCCTGCTGATAAAATTAAAGTAACTGAAGAGTTTAGTCGAACTGGAGTTGGGGCATATTTTACTAGCTTTAATGAAGCAGTTTTTGGAAGTGATAATTCTAAGTATTTAAAAACTGAAGTATTTTCTAATACTGAACAATATAAAGCAATTATTTTTATTGGTCCAGTTTGGTGGTGGGGATTAAATGCACCAATCAAAAATGCTTGTAATGAAGTAGTTAAGAAAATCAAGGCTGACCAACATGTTTTCTTAGCTCTTAGTTTTGCTGGTAAGTCAAATCCAGGAGATAAAGGAAGTTATGAAGAATTTGCTAAAATTTTTAATGGAAAAGCTATTGTTCATGAGAAGTATCTTGGATGCCAAGAAGATTATTATGCAGCTGGATCATTAAAAGATAAAGTCATAGCCTTTGAGAATGAAGTGTTACAGTCAGTAGGACTTCCAGAGCTTAAAGTAGGAGAGTCTCAAGAAAATAAAGAAGAAAATAAAGAGGGAGTGAAAGAAGAAAAGAACTAGTTAATAAAAAGAAAAATAACAATTTAATATTTTCTTAAAACATCTGTATTTGTTTTTCTTTATTCTATTTTCTAAAATAGTGAAAAGGACCAAACTACAAATTAATTAAAGGTTGAAGAATAAATGGAAGCTTTAAGTGAAAATGAAAATGAAAGTCAACTAACTGGAAGAAAAACTGAAGTTTCGATGATGTTTGATACACCTAAAACATCGGTTTCATTAACACCTAATGTCTCTAATGTTTTTGAAGAGTCAAGTAGAAAAACAGAAGAATTAATAGAAGAAACTCCAGAGAATTCTCCTATACTCAAACGACAAAAAAATATCGTAGCAAATACTCGTCAACAAAGTGGCTACTTCTTCTTTACATCAACAGAGGAAAAACAAGAATCTCAAGATTTAGATTTTACTACATATACTGGAGCAAAGGATTTATTAACTATTGTTGATGGTTGTAAAGTTATTATAGACATTGGAACATATTCAATGAAAGTTGGACTTATTACTGATGATAGTCCAAGAAGACGTTTACCTATGGCAATTACAGAAATGAATTGTTGTGAAGAAGCAGTTAAAAGTGATGATTGTGAATTTATATTAGAGCCATATCATATTAATCCTTTTCAAGACAGTCAATTATTTGAAGATAAATTAAAACGAATTTTAAATGAAATTTATCGAGTTGTATTAAGAGGTTGTAATCCATCTTCTCATCCAATATACTTTTCTGTTAATCAACATTTAATCAATATAGTTGATTCAATTAGAGGATGCTTTACTCAATTAGGAGTAAATGAAATAGAATATGTTAATCCATTTTATGAACTTCTTCTTCCAACACAGTCTTCAACTGGATTAATACTTGATTTTGGAAGTGCTATTTCATTAAAAGCAGTTATTGAAAATAAAGTTGTTGAACAAATGGAAATAGATAATAAACTCATAGACACATCTAAAATATTATTGCAACAACAACTTCATATTCAACCTTCAAAATGGGATGCTCTAAGTGCACTTAAATTTTCTTTTTGTTCTGAAAAATTTAATTTACATAAATTCGTTATTCAGAGTAATGAAGTTGAATGGAATGATGACATCAAACAAATGTTAGAAGATTCTCTTTTCGAAGACTCTTCGTTAATTAATTTGTTTTTAGAGGTACTTAAAGATTGTCCTAGAACATCCAGAAGAACTCTTGTTAGTCATATTATTGTTGTTGGTGGATTAGTTCTTGACGGTATTGAAGAAAGATTAATAAAAGAATTAAAACAAGTAGCTTCTCAATTTCATGTTCAGTCAAGAGATTTCAAAGTTATACATCATAACCATTCTTATAATGCTCAATGGGAGGCAACACAACATTATGTGAAAGACAATTATAATATTTGAATATCATTTAATTTCTTTCTTTCTCTTTTTTATCAAAATGGAGTAATTCATTGTGAATAATTTAAAAATTAAAAGAATTGAATGAATATAAGATATTGTTAGTTAATTACATTGTTCTTTTAACTAATAGAACATTAATTAAATAAATAATTTTTATTACTTTTATTCTATCAAAAATTAAAAATATGTTAATTTATTTTATTTAAGAATGAATGAGACTTAAAAGAAGTTAGAGATATTAAATTATTGTGTGTAAAAATTGATTTTCAAACAAATATTAAAATTACTTCATTTATTTAATGAATTATTCAAATATTTTTGTTTATATCATTTAATATGTGTTATATCTTAAAACTATTTTTATTAAAATATTTTAATTAATTTACTGTAAAAAAAGAAACAAATAAAGAATATAATTCCTTTTTGTTTAATAAGAAAAGTAAAATAAATTAGCTTCTAAAATAACAAAGAAACTAAAAAAAAGATAATGATATATTATCTTTTTGAATCTCCTAATAGAAATTGTTTTGATAATGTTTGATTATTTTTCACTTCTATAAGACTATGGTGGCAAAGAAGGATTTATTATTATCAAAAGAGTATGGTATATAAATAATTAATATGTGTGTTTGAAGAGTTTTAAATCAATAAATACGTATTTTAAAGAAAATTAAAATTTTATAAACTTTGTATATAATGAATAAATAATAAGTATATTATAATATATTCAATAGATAAAAATTATAACGTAGAGAATGTTGAGCGTTCTTGTTGAGTAGTAATATGATGTTTGTCAAATTTGGTTCTTTTTTGTTGTAAATAAACAGGAGGAATAGGAGAAAATAAGAAATTCTTCCAATTAAGAAGAAATCCAAGGGAATAAATTTTAGGTAATTTTTTAATACTTTCATTCGTAGTAGTACCAGTAGAAATGAAATAAGTATGCATACATAATAAGTTAGTAACAAAGAGAAAAAAAGGTAAACTAAAAACACAAAGAATAGGTCTAGTAATAAATAATTAATCGATTATATAAAAATAATGAACAAACTCTAAATAATAATGTTCTGAAAATCCTTCTTTCACATGAATAAGTGAATAAGGACGTTCTATCATTAAAAAACATGCAAGCAATGATGATATTTCTACATATAATAAATAAATAAATGAAAGTATTAAAAATTGATAAAAAATTCTATAATTTCTTCTTCCAATACAATTTCCTACCCAAGGACAATGATGGTCAAAATGTTCTATACAATTATTACAAATTCTACAATGAATTGTTCTTGGTGGTTTCTTAAAAAAACAAGTTCTACAATAATATAATGTTACTTCTTTATTTTCAAACATTTTAATTGAACGTGATTCAGTATTAACTAATTGAGGATTCTTTCCAATACCATAAACTTTCCTAGGTAATATTCCAGGATTAATAAATGCGGTTCTAAAAAGAGATATCTAAAAAATATCAATCTTGAGATTATTAAAATAACAAAATAAAATTAACAAACAATTACACAGGTAATTAATATCACACTCGGAATAATCATTAATTCATGTGTCTCTTCTATTATCCAACGTAAAGTAAATGATGAGTGTATTACTACAATTACTAATAATATTATAATTGTTAATATTAATCTATACGGCTTTCCTCCAATTGTTTGTAAATGAAAACAAAATAATGGATATGACAATGGATAATTGGATTGATTTAATCTTATAAACCCTTTCTGTTTATCTTCTAAACGTTCATTATTAATTTCCAAATTAATTGAAAGATTATTTTCTCCATTTAAGTGTTCATTCATCTGAATACTGATTTCTTTATTCTCAAGATTATTACTATATGCGAATGGTGAATTAATACTATTCATAAAAGTAATTGAAAATTAAGTTTACGAAAAATCAAATTTATAAAACAAAAAAAAAACAAAAAAAGAGATTGTCTCTTTATAATTCTATTTTTATTTACTAAAAACTTTTTGTTGTTGTTTATTTTATTTTTAAATTGGAACTTTTTATCTTCTTGATGTATTTTTTTTTGCAATTTAAGTTAATCAATAATTATATAAACAATAATTTCTTAACTTATCAGTCTTTTAATTAATACACATTATTCATTTCTTAATAAATCTTGATATTACTTAACAATATTAAAATCCTGAAAAAATGTTAAACAACTAATTGACACAATTTAGTAATTGTTAACTATTTTCTTTGTTAATACATATCATATGTAATAGCACTTTGCTATGAATATTATCTAAACAAAGGATATAACATTTACTTAACACCTTTAACAAACATGCTTTTTATTTTAAAAGATCTTCTTTTTACCTCAACCTAACTATCAGTGAATCTCGAGATTTCATTTCAGTATAAACAAATTAAATAACTTTCTTCCTGACAGGTTAAAGGAGATAGATAAATGTCGTTTTTGTAGAACACAGATAAAGTGATTAATTTAATAATTTAAAGAGCTTATTTTATCACTTCTCTATTCAACCTTTTGTATGACTTCATTGTTTATTTCACCAATTCAATTACCTCAAGTTGGAACAATTCAATTTAGAGCATTACAAAAAGAAGATTATGATAAAGGGGTATGTTCAGTTCTTGAACAATTAACTTCTTGTTCAACAGATAAAAACAAATTTAACGATGTATTTGATTTAATGGTTTGTTATTATCTTCATTTTTCTTAACATTATCATCAATAAAAAAGAAGAAAGAAAATAATTATTACATTGTTGTTGGTGAAGATCTTTCCACCTCCCAAATTATCCTTACTGGTACATTATTTATAGAATCAAAAATCATTCATAATGGCTCTTCTGTTGGTCATATAGAAGATATTGCCGTAAGTAATTCGTATAGAAAAATGAATTTAGGTAGGATACTGATCGATACTTTAGTGAAACTAGGACAGGTTAACTCTTGTTACAAAATCATTCTTGACTGCTCTTCTTCGGTTTTACCATTTTATGAGAAGTGTGGACTATCTAAAAAGGGACATTTTATGGCAATTTATTTTTAAAGAAATCAAATAACTAAGAGAAAAGTAAAGACTAGAAAAGATAAGACATGCTATTATTTCTATTATTATGTTATATGTTATTCTTTAAGGTTTAAGACTAAAAGATGAGTTAAAAAGTAAGTGACTGTATGTATAAAAACTACACAAACAGATACGTTTAATCCAAAGAATAACAAAATAAAATAACTTGACAATATAAATCTGTCATAAAAGATAATAAAAGAAAAATACTTTTTGTTTTAAGTCATCATATTATTTTTAGAATAAATAAAACATCTTGAATTGATTTTAAACAATAATTAATTCAAAATTATCATATTTTGATTGAGTTAATAATTATACATAAAATATTTGATTTTTATTATTGAAGATGAGTTTATATTTATTGTTTGATTTATTCTTTTTGTATTACTTCTTTCATGTGTTTTATTTCATTAATTGTAATTTTTATTTCTATTCTATTTCTTTTTAATGTATATAAATTGGATTAATAACAATTTAATTATATATCTTGATATATCTGATTTGTATATTTTCTTTCATTTCTATGAATAATCTTTTCTATATCATTTTCTTTTATTCAATTTTCTATAAAAGATTCATAAAATATTGACATTTCTATTATTGTGTTATGAAAGTATTAGACTTTGTTTGTTTTATATTCTTTTATTTAATTTATTCTTTTATTCCTTTATATTTTGTTTCTTTCTAAAATTCATTTTTCATTCATTTTCTTCATTTTATTATTATATATTTATTTAATTTATTCTTTATTTCTTTTTATATTATTCTATCATCTATATAATGTATTTCTATTAATTCATTCTTATTTCTCTCACTTCATAACTATAAATTCATTGTGTTATAAATTTGTTGAATTACATACATTTCATTTTATTATTAATATTATTATTGTGTTATAGTTATTTGTTAATTTATGAAATGTAAGAAATGGAAATTCATATATTAATGTATAATATTTATACATTTTATTATCCATTCATTTTTCTTTCATTATTTTTGATTTTATTCTTTCTTTTACTCATTTTCTATAAATTAATGAATTTCATTGTTTATGATTATTATTCTTCTATCTTCTATTACTGTATTTTTATCACTTCTTCATTCTATTTATTCATTTATCATCTTTTTATTTTATTCATTATTTCTTTTTTCTTTCACATATTATGTTGAATTGTTATTTTATTCTATAATTCATCTATTTCATTTTCATTTTAATATTTCATTTTCATTTTAACATTTTTATTCATTTCTTCTTTTTATATTTGATATATTGTAAATAATATATTAAGATACATATATCTTATTGATATTAAAATATTTCATTATTATTTAATATTTAAATATTTTTTTTTTCTTTCTGTTATTTCTTTTTAAATTCATTTTCAAACAATTATTTTCTAATTATCAATATATTTTATTTAATCATTGAAATGTGATATGTTGAATGATTTATCTTATTTGTGACATCATTTGTATATTTATAAAAATGATTAATGTTTTATTGTTTGTTCTACTTTCTTATTTTCATTCTTACTTTTCATCATTTTTCATTTATATTTTCTTCTTTGTCTTTCTTTGTATTATTGTCATATATTTCATTCATATATGTTTATATTAGATAGTTATTCATTCTATTTTTGATATTTTATATTTTAATGCGTATCATATCTATATTTCATGTCTGAAACACTACAAAAACACTAATAAATTTCAAGATTCTATTTTCTCAGTTATTATCTGGTTATAAATTTGTATATTGAGATGAAATATATCAATTAATGATGTAAAATGTGTAGCAATTTATTATTGTTGAATAATACATGTTGTAATATAATGATTAATATTTAATAAGAAAGAAAATTAGAAACATATAATATCAAATGAAATGATATGCTAGTGTGTTGTTGATACGAAAATGAAACTAGCCATAATATAATGGTAATGTTATGTTGTCTCTTTCATAAAATAAGAAATGTTATTTAAAAATAAAGTAAAAACAAATGAGAAGTTACAAAGAATGAATAATCAGAAGAATATTGAAAAGACAATAATAGAAAGAAATAAAACAAAAAATACTTTGTTCATGTTTCTAGAAAAAAATAAAGAATAATTTGAATAAAGAGATGATTCTTATTTAAAAATATCGAATATGTTTGATTAATCTTTGTTGATTACTGAAGAATAGAACCAAAATCTATTAACATTTAAATAACTAATTTTTATATTTCAATGTATATAAACTTAACTTTTATTTTATTTTCATGAAAATAGTTGAAAATAATTCTATAATTTTATCATCTATACCATCTATATTTTTCATTGTTTTATTTCATCCGATATATTATTTTATTTATATTTCTTCTTTATTTTAATTTAAAAGAATTGAAGAATTAGAAAAGAAAGGTGTTGAGGAGAATATAAAAGAGAAAGAAGAAATGGAAGATGAAATACAAGTAAAAGAACAAACCATTAATAAATTAACAA